GCAGCATTGCAGAACAATAAAACATGCAATGATTGAATATAAAGTAAAGTGGACACAAATAAACTGCCGTTGGCTGAATTGAGGCAGAGCCTGCTGTTGTTTTTCATCGTTTGAGTTCGACTGATGCTCTTCTAATTACTCGTTTGCACCCTCTTCATCTGACTGGAGAATCAGCGCCTGCAGCTATTTATCTCGATGCACCAACTCCGGAAATTTCACCAAACGATAGTGGGAGGAAGCTCTCGTTAATTAGCTCGTTTCTTTTGCAGACTGTCTGTAAATTTGGTCAATATTTGACCTCAATTTGGTTAGAAACTTGGCTGCAGATTGCACAAACAGTCCAGCTGTTAATTTCACGTGATAGGTAGCAAATGTTGGAGGAGCATGCTGTTTGAGCACACCTTTACAGAGTTTTCTTGCGTTTAAATATATCATAAAACAGTAATAATAATAATACAACAAGCATACATAAGGAGGAAGAACTACTGATATGTATGAGATAAAAGTGATCCAAATCCTAATTGAGTGTAGTAATTGATCTGTATCCACATTACCTCAACAGTCACATCTGTACATCACTTTTAAAGGTCTTAAAGGTTTAAACGTGACAATTACATCGGCTGTTTGCACTCACAGGTTGTCGCCACCTCGGGCACATTGTTGCATCCCAGCCCCGAGTACGCCAATTAGTTCAAGTTTTTAGGGCTGTGGAGTTAAAAATCCTGTGTTTAGTTTTATGGCTTTTCTTAACAACCACTCCTCTGGAGCACGGCCTCATGGGAAACCAACACCTTTTGTCTCACTTGTTGAGGCTCATAATGCAATTATAAAAAAAAACACTTTTTTTGCCGTTGATTTCCGTCCTCGTGCTGCACCTGAGAAAACATGACATCATCACCGTGGGACAGCTGTGGCACTGCTGACCGCTAACGGGGTTTTTTATTGGAGGGGGAAAGCACCTGGATGGAAAAGAGACAACAGGTTGTTTGTTTAATGGCGGCGATTACTACAAACTGATGAGTCAGATGTGCAGAGGAGGGGTGGGAATCAGTCTGAAGAGAGGCCTGCATCATGAGCACATGTTTAGAGTTTATATTGATGTAAAGGAAATCATTTAAAAGAATTCCTCATAAACCTCGTATAGAACCAAAATCCAAAGTCATGAAGTGCTTTTTATCAATAAAACAATAACCCTCTTAAATATGGATAAACTGTCCAAATTCAGCTGTTGCTTCGTGGAGCAACGGCAGGAAAAATCTGAATAGGAATCGCATGAAAGAAATCTCACTGAATCTGGCAGAATGACCAAAACTGTCCAATAAACAAGTAATATATTTTGTGACTTTTATTTACAAACGGCCAAAATGCAGATTAAACAAAACCGAATGCAGGTCTGATTACATCCTTAGCGCCCAACTGCTCCCAGTGTGATGTTGATGTGTGTGTGTGTGTGCGTGTGTGTGTGTGTGTGTGTGTGTGTCCGCCCCGTCATTGGTTGATGTATCATCTCTCAGCCTGAGCAGGACAAACATGTCTGAGATAAACGAAAGGTGTTTGGGTTCGTGGTCTGATCGCCAGAGGGAAAAAGACGACGCAACCTAAACATTCCCATCTAGAGAGGATTCCCCCTCTTTCTCTCGTGTGTGTGTATGTGTGTGTGTGTGTGTGTGTGTGTGTGTGTGTAATTGAGTGTGGGAGCTGCTGACTTTCTAGTTAGTGTTTTCACTTGTTTCACCTTTAGCAGCATCAGAAGTCCCGTCCTTTCGACCACATTCTTGTAGCCTTTCTGTGCTTGTTTGAGGTTCTGTCAACTCACGTGGCCCGACCTGTAATCAGGTTATCAAACTGCCCCCGCTGATTCAACTTGCACCCAAAGACCCAGCATTTGCCTGCCCCCGCCATCCTCCCTACTCTCCGCGTTGCACCCATCACCGTCCCCCAGTGAGCATGCGGTGTGACAGCTAAAATCTTCCCCCCCTAGCACACTCGTAGCTCAAAACAATGCGTCCCGATAAACCCTCGGAGGGCCCGAGGGCATTTGTTCGCGGGTTTGTAGGCGCGTGCGTTGGTGGACAACACACACACACAATGGTTTTCACACGCATGGTGGCTAGAATCTGTCTGTCCAAGCACTCTCTCCTATCAGGAAGTGAGGTAGGCCCGGTGGGAGCGGTAAGTCCAGAGAGCTTAGCGGCCCAGAATAGGCTCCATTGTGCCCTTTGTGCTGGAGGGGATTTGGGCCTACAAACTGACCAGTCTGCTGGAAGGTGATGAGGATGGAAGGTCTGGAAGAGCCGGGGCGGAGACCCGCCGGGCTGGCATGAAAACAGACGGGGATGCCAACTGGCGAGGGTGTCTGCGGGCGGGGGCGCTGGCAAACGGATCTCTGGTAAAAATGTGTCCCCGTGTCTTTAAAAAGCACTTTATTTGTATAATGTGTACAAACTAGATGTGAACCATGTGGACTAGAGAAGACATTTTTTATTCTGTAACTTTAACCAAAAGAATAAAGCCACTGTAACTTTAACAAATTAGGAGTAACAATTAATATTTAGTGTCTTTAAAGGGCCAGTGTGTAGCATTTAGAGGGATCTATTGGCAGAAAAGGAATATAATATTAATAAGTATGCTTTGTTCAGTGAATAATCTCTTGAAAATAAGAATATGTGTTTTCATGACCTTAGAATGAGCCATTTATAGCTACCATGTGGCAGTACAAACACTGCCACATGGGAGAAGTTTCAGTCGGTTGCAACCTGCAACCTCACCACTAGACGGCGCCAAATCCTACACACTGCCGTTTGACAAACCCACAGAGCTTTTTAGCCCCTTTCAGTTGTGGTTTTCCTGCACGTCTAGAACTGGAGATATACTTGCTCTTTAACCTCACGTACAACCCGTCTGCAGCGTGAACAAAGTTCTTTACACACTTGCTTTATTTCTGAGGTCACGGCAGAAAAAGCCACAGTGGTGCCATCGTAGATGATCTGTCAGCATACCGTCCCTACCATTCATGTGTCTTTGGTACGCGTCACATTCATTTAACAATTCAATTCCACAATTTAACAGTGCTCTCTTTTTTTAGTCTTTATTGGTTTCCCCTTCTTTTGGTTCCCTTTCATCCTTTTACTTTTATCTCCACTCTGTGATCTTCTTCCTCTGCAGACTGAATTCATGAATTCCATGCCATGTTAGGGAATAAACAGAGACACTCTCCTCCTGCTGACCATGAAAGAGACTCTCTGAAGATTAGATTTTAGTAGCTGTTTCTCACATTTATTAGCTTTTTTTCGCAAATGGCAAAAGTCCCTTTGTATCCATGCGCCCGTGGTTAAGATGATGAGGACAGGAGCAGCAAAAGCATCATTCCCCTTAACTCACACGTCACCTCTCACCTTATACGTAACACCAGACGCACGGCCGAGTCTTTGAAAGTTACCCTGTGACCTGAAAAACCGATACTAGAAAGACTAGAAAGAGATGACGTGAAGTGTTTGTTTTTTCTTTAGCTGTTAGGGAACGAATACAGATAAAAACACGAGCATGTTGCAGGAGGAGATGGAAGGAAGGCGAGGCGTGAGAGAAAGTGTCGGGATCCCCGCATAGTTTCTCTCCCGGGTGAAACCAGGTGTGAGCGCGAGCTGCGAGCCAGACAGCGTTCCCTGGTTCAGCCCTGTCATTACTGTCCCCCCCCACGTGGGATTAGAAGCAGAACTGCGGCCTCACACAGTGTGGTCAAGGCTGATCCAGGATCATTGTCACTTATTGTCACCGGGCTTTGCCATACAGAATACAACGTAAAGTTTAGACACTCACAAGAAGTTATCTATACTTTTTTGTGACTGTACGTCACACAAAATGGTCCGGATGCTACAAACTCCACCCGGCTGGTACTCCCTGCAGGCTAAAACAAACTCACTAAAGATGGTTTATAACTGGTATTTGGTATTTTTCTGTGATGTCCCCTGATGTTGGATTACTGATTTCACAGTTGTGTGTCTGCAGGCAGAGCGGTAATATATGAATAGGACCAGGTGTTGGGAAGAGATTTACATTCCTTTTTGTAATGGGGGGGTGTGTGAACCTTTACCTTGTGTGTAATGAAAGGTGTCTGCATCCTCTGTGCATGTGCATATACAGTATGTATGTATGTGTGTGTGTGTGTGTGTGTGTGAATGTAATTACGTGTTTTCTTGTCTGTTGTACTCCTTTAAGTTAAGGACAAAACCGATGCGCACATTCAAGCACTCACTTTCATCTCAGCTCTTTAAATGTCTCATTGATGTTAAATGTGCATCTGCAGCACTGGTTCACTTCCCCAGTTAATGCAGTCGTGTCTTTATGAATGAATTCATGAGCAAACAAAAGAGCTTACGTTTATGTGATAAGCACAAAGAAATCCCCTGTTTGCGTGCAAATGAAGCGGTTTCTTTTTAATCTAACTGACTCAGTGACAACAATAATAAGCCTTCAGCCCGAGTCACTCTTAGAATCCTCTGACTTTGCTTTGACCCCGGACCCGGACATCTGTGCCTCCTGTCTCCTCCTCCTGTCTCCTCCTCATTACTGTGTTATCAAAAGTTAAATTCTAACACTTCTTCCTGATGTTTCAAACCAAATAATAACCCACAGCAGCAGTTTCTCTTCTAGACCTCCATCTTCTACCACACACGCCGCTGCGTGCCCACATGAAACACCTCACAGTCCCTCTCAGATCTGGGTCTGTGAACATCCCTCAATGAGTAAAAAGAAAAATAAGACCAAAGCTGCGTTTTCCACCTTGAAACAAAACCACAACACAAAGAATACTTTTCCTAAGTGTTTCTGGGGTTGCAAAAAGTCCCTCCTCTGCTCATGAATGTTACATTAGGGGGTTATGAATAATGAACTAATACATAGAATGAAAAATGTTTGTATGTTTAATATTCGTGCCTTTTACCGATTGTCTGTTCTTCCTGCGTGGCATGAAAAGTGACCGGCCGTCTCCTCTCTTCTCTCAGGGTCGTCCGGGGATTCTCGGCGAGGTTGGTCAGAGCGGACCAGAGGGGCCACGCGGGGGCCTGGGGCCCAACGGGCCTAAAGGAGAGAAGGGCCACGTTGGACTGAAAGGACCATCTGGCCCCAAAGGAGACAAGGTGGGTGTTGAAATATTGATTCATTATAATTCACGACTAAAGCTAAAGGTTCATGTTAAACAGTAGCATGTTTTCACCACCAGGTGTCGCTATTATAACTGATTATAAATGATGGTTTATCTGCTAACACAGGGACCTATGGGAGTACCGGGGTTCCAAGGAACAGATGGAGTACCTGTAAGTAACATCATAAAAGAGTTCAGGAATGAAACTGTCTGTTTGAGTTTAAGTCCACGTTGTGAGGATGAAACGGTCATCAGTGCTTGTTCTTGAAGCGCCCCCTTGTCCGTCTCTCTGTAGGGTCACCCTGGTCAGGACGGTGGACGAGGACCATCAGGACTGGACGGATGTAACGGGACCAGAGGACAACCTGGAGCGCCCGGCTACGGGACCGGAGGACCCGGATCACCTGGATTTGCTGTGAGGACAAACTTCCATTTCTATTTGTGTGACTTTATGTATTTGTGGATGTTTGAAGACATCATATAGAGAATACAGATAAACATTATCGTCGCTGCTTGTGATAGATCCATTAATAGTGATGGCGTCCTTTTACTCACACAGGGGCCTTCTGGGCCAAGGGGGCAGAAAGGAGAGCCTCGATTCATCTCTGATAACGGTCTCACGGTAAGGTCGCTTTCATACTTCCTTCTTCTTCTTCTTCTTCGTTGTGTTCTTCTTCGAGTTCTTCTTCTACTTCTTCTTTTTCGTTGAGTTCTTCTTCTTCCATGCTGCCGTTCACATCACCGCTGGTGTTATTAAATGTTTCATATGTAGAGTTAGAGTAGTTTGAGCTTGTTTTCCCACCGTACTGCTTTCTTACTTTTGTCCTTTGGAGAAAACAAGCGAATGTATTTGGGGCTTTTTACTGACTTCATTAGCAAAGTGTGGCTTTGATCTTTAGTCTTTTCTTGACTTTTGAATTTGGGAACTTCTAACATATAAAAAATTAAGAAAATATTCTCTCTGTTGACTTTGGAAAAAGTGTACTATTGTTAAAGTTATCCAAGCTCAAAGATCTGAGAGACAAATGTTAATTTGTGTTGTCGTCATCAATCCAGCTGAGTATGTATTTGTCAGACATGTAAAGCTTTGTGTAAAACTTGTCTTTGGTGTTGATTTGCTCTGCCATTCAAAGATTTCAAGACTGTAACACTCTGAATAATCTGCGCCACATTTACTCCCTAAAATACGTTTTTTTGTTTTGTTTTTTGAAGTATTTGATTATTTGTATTTATAGAAACAGTTTGGTTGCAGTTGCATGGTATGGGTTATGGTACATGCATAGATCAGCACTGAGCCAGCCTGCAGTGCTGTGGGTGGCCACCAGGTGATGCTACAGTAACACTGATAGTAATAACATGGTGGCGTCCTGCATAAACCTCATCTGTGTACAAAACCCTAATAATCCTAAACCAGGTTTATTCTCCATTAACATGTCAAGTTGTCTTTTATTAATAAAATAAATTAAGAGGATCGATGCTGATGTGTTTTTCTTTTTTTGTCTTTTTTTAGAGTTTACCAGGTTTGCAAGGAAGAGACGGTCCATCTGTAAGATTCCTACGTGTTCTGTCACCGTGCAACAATAAATATTCTGTACATGTTGAGTACTTTAGATGCAGAGTTCTGACCCAGTGGTGCTGTTTCTCTGCAGGGTATCAGAGGTCCTGATGGTCCACCTGGGTTTCCTGGTCCCAGGGGCCCTGAAGGATTCACCGTATGTAAACTAATTCACCAGACTGATTTAGGAGTCTAGTTTTTATCTCACCTCAGAAATAGTAATTAATTAATTCATTTCTATTCAATCATCAGGTAATACTATTATTACATTGTCAGTCAAACATATTTCAAAGTTACAGTTTCCAGATTTGTTATGTTTTTTGTATGATTAATCTTATTCTAACCACCATTACATCTTTGTAGACACTCATATTTCTAGAATATTTTCTTTCAGTTGAAGCGTTTGTGAATATTAATTCTGATTTTGGTCGCTGACTTTAGTTTTGTCGTCTGTCTCCAGGGCCCGCCTGGTCCTCCCGGTTCTCCAGGGCTAATGGTAAGTAAAACAATAGAGCACTTTGATTTATTCTATTATGTTCTATTATGTTCTATTATGTAAGCTTTTATCATTTAAAGATTGTTGCTTTTGTTCCTCCAAGTGTGTTTTGTTAACCCTGCTGTTTTTTAGGGGAGCCGTAGTGACGGATTTGAAGGAGAGAAAGGAGACAAGGTACGCTTTATTAACTGATGACATGAGATTTAATCACACACACTCACACACACAAACTCACACACACTCACACACACTTTAATCCCGTAAACGTCAGCGATACACATTGAAACAGCAGGCTAGAGTGCTCTGGCTGGGTCCTGTGTGTGTGTGTGTGTGTGTGTGTGTGTGTGTGTGTGTGTGTGTGT